TTACCCCTTGAAGCTTTTTCGTGCCGGATGTAGCACTTTCAGCTATCGGTTGCAGCATTTTGCAGTTGCGCTATGGCTGCCCCAGCTTCCCTGTGTGGTGTTGAAGCTTTTTAACATACTGGATGTAGCTTTTTAGGATGCAGTTGTAGCAAAAATCGAGGACGATTGCAGCAAAAATCATCGTCCCCGCCATGACGGGTTGCAGCTCTGCCGTGAATGGACATAGCAAAAAAATTCGCCGGACGTAGCAAAAAAACCATGATGGTTGCAACAACAAAAAATCGTCGTCACCATCGCGAGGTTGCAACTCGGCCATGGATGAATGTACCAAAAATCCTCGCTGGTTGTAGCAAAATTTGACGGCGGTGGCAGCAAATTTCGTCGTCACCGTTTGGTTGCAACTTGCCGTTAGAGATAGCCATGAAGGAAATATGCCCTAGAGGCAATAATAAAGTTATTATTTATTTCCTTATATCATGATAAATGTTTATTATTCATGCTAGAATTGTATTAACCGGAAACATAATACATGTGTGAATACATAGACAAACATAGTGTCACTAGTATGCCTCTACTTGACTAGCTCGTTTATCAAAGATGGTTATGTTTCCTAGCCATGGACAAAAGAGTTGTCATTTGATTAACGGGATCACATCATTAGGAGAATGATGTGATTGACTTGACCCATTCCGTTAGCCTTAGCACTTGATCATTTAGTATGTTGCTACTGCTTTCTTCATGACTTATACATGTTCCTATGACTATGAGATTATGCAACTCCCGTTTACCGGAGGAACACTTTGTGTGCTACCAAACGTCACAACGTAACTGGGTGATTATAAAGGAGATCTACAGGTGTCTCCGAAGGTACATGTTGGGTTGGCGTATTTCGAGATTAGGATTTGTCACTCCGATTGTCGGAGAGGTATCTCTGGGCCCACTCGGTAATGCACATCACTATAAGCCTTGCAAGCATTGCAACTAATGAGTTAGTTGCGGGATGATGTATTACGTAACGAGTAAAGAGACTTGCCGGTAACGAGATTGAACTAGGTATTAAGATACCGACGATCAAATCTCGGGCAAGTAACATACCGATGACAAAGGGAACAACATATGTTGTTATGCGGGTTGACCGATAAAGATCTTCGTAGAATATGTGGGAGCCAATATGAGCATTCAGGTTCCTCTATTGGTTATTGACCGGAGACATGTCTCGGTCATGTCTACATTGTTCTCGAACCCGTAGGGTCCGCATGCTTAAGGTTTCGATGACAGTTATATTATGAGTTTATGAGTTTTGATGTACCGAAGGAGTTCGGAGTCCCGGATGAGATCGGGGACATGATGAGGAGTCTCGAAATGGTCGAGACGTAAAGTTCGATATATTGGACGACTACATTCGGACTTCGGAAAGGTTCCGAGTGATTCGGGTATTTTTCGGAGTACCGGAGAGTTACGGGAATTCGCCGGGGAGTATATGGGCCTTATTGGGCCATACGGGAATAGAGGAGAGAGGCCAAAAGGAAGGAGGCCTGCGCCCCCCCTCTGGTCCGAATTGGACAAGGGGCGCAGCCCCCTTTTCCTTCTTCCTCTCCCCCTCTTTCCACTTCTCCTACTCTAACAAGGAAGGAGGAGTCCTACTCCCGGTGGGAGTAGGACTCCCCTTGGCGCGCCCCCTCCTAGGCCGGCCGCCCCCTCCCCCCTTGCTCCTTTATATACGGGGGCAGGGGGGCACCTCTAGGCACAACAACAATTGATCATTGATCTCTTAGCCGTGTGCGGTGCCCCCCTCCACCATAGTCCTCCTCGATAATATTGTAGCGGTGCTTAGGCGAAGCCCTGTGACGGTAGAACATCAAGATCGTCACCACGCCGTCGTGCTGACGGAACTCTCCCTCGACACTCGGCTGGATCGGAGTTCGAGGGACGTCATCGAGCTGAACGTGTGCTAGAACTCGGAGGTGCCGTAGTTTCGGTGCTTGATCGGTCGGACCGTGAAGACATACGACTACATCAACCGCGTTGTCATAACGCTTCCGCTTTCGGTCTACGAGGGTACGTGGACTACACTCTCCCCTCTCGTTGCTATGCATCACCATGATTTTGCGTGTGCGTAGGAAATTTTTTGAAATTACTACGTTCCCCAACAAGCGGCACCCCCGCCGTCGACCTGTTGCAGCTTTTTCTGTCGCCAGTTCGAGCACGACCGTTGTTGGGTTGCAGCTTGCTCAAGGGAACCATTCATGGCCACCCCGCACCTTTTCATGTGGAGAAGGATGGAAAAAAGGTAGGTGATGGGAGGAGGTAGGAGAAAGGGAGCGCGCGGAGAAGGTAGGGGAAAGGGAGCGACTGGCGCGGCCATGAATCACGGGCGGCTTCGCGAGGTGGGAGAAAAAGAGAAGAAAAGGAACGAGCGAGTGAGGAGAACGAAGAAAAAGAGATAAGGCACGAGATTTGTTAATGCGTGGGTCCACTCTTTACGTGTCGCGATCTGAATAGCTAGCGGATGCGCGCGTGTGGATGCGACCGGCCGAAGCTTCGACCGACGCCCGACCACAAATGTTTACCTATTGGGTATGCCTGAACACTTGTCGAGCAACCAGGTAGACACACCATGCACGCACTGAGGAGGGACACCCCGGCAGTGGCGCTCTGGAGGGCCCTCGAGGACGCTTAGTGGTCATCCTCTCACGGTGGGGTGCACACCAGAAACAGAAGACGGCAGCAGGGCGTTTTGAGGCCAAGTGGCACACTGCTGGATGTGTGGAGGCGGGGAAGATGAATATGACGTGTAGGCCCGCAGAGTCAATGACAAAAAATGATTGTTTTCGGCCGGGATTGTCTTTTTCCCGACGCAACAAATAGTGTAGGGTCGGTTTAGGGTTGGAATTGACCGAGATTGATGAATACAGAGTGCCGATTTCAGGGATTCAACGTTAAGGGTTCAATTCCGACTACCTCTACGAGTTTAAGGTTTAAAATATACTTAGGCCGAAGCCCCACTGCGCACCAGACCCCCCTCCCCCCCACACACACTTCAGCCTTCACCCGTGACCACTGCTCGGCCTTCTGCACTAGACACGTACCACACCAATCCGGAGTCAAACAAATTTATTCGCCGCACGAGCTTCCGAGCGATCTCGCCGAATCATGATGATTTCCGATCTCGCCGTAACTGGTTTGTGGATTCCATTGTTTCCTCCCGGCGACACGCCAAGGAATAGCCTCCACAACGATTTGATAACGACGATCATCCTCTAGATCAACTTCCGCAACATCTTCGAACCTTGCTCATGATTCCACTTGTTAGAATAAATTTGAGGCACTCCGTCGATCATCCAAGAACCTAGCAATCACACGAGTATGACACCGAGATTTGTTAACGAGGTTCACCAATATGGCTACATCCCTGGGGCCTGACTACGGGCTCTCCTCCCCGTGACACCGTCACAATACCGCACACCGGCCACCCGGTTGCCGGCACACGCCGCCGGCTCCCCTGCGTACATGTGCTATTATGTTGGCGTAAGTTACATCGTGTGTCTACCCTTGCTATATATGAGAGGCCTATGATACAAGCGTCATACTAGGACACGACTCCATATCCTATCTAAACACAATACTCCCTCCTTCCCGGTTTATAGGGCTTATCTCAAAAATTTCGGTTTCCCGTTTTATAAGTCTCAATTTGATTATTCCCCATCACGTCCTCAGATTTCAAGGTGCATTAATTCATTGCATGCAAGGATTATGAGAAACTTGACCAATGCATGTACTTCATGCATGCATGCATTGCAATTAATGCATTGGTAACATAATTCTTTCAGTAAAACGAGCGCATTAATTGAGTGCTTTTACAAACCACGAAAATTATTCCATCACTCATCATCTACCTTGGTTGGTGAGATTTTTGAATTGAGCCATAAACCGGAAAAGAAGTAATACTACTCAGAGTTTAACTGTAACCTGCCTTATATATAATATTCGATACAACTCTAACAATTGATTGTATGCACGCGCGCGATTGGCGCTTTGCTCCTGCCGGTCAGCCGGACACAATCATTAGGCAAAAATTGCGGAAAAAGAAATACGTGCATGTTCTTGTGTTTCTACGAGAAAAATGAGTAACAACTGCGATTGTTTTTGCTTAATAAATTCGGACGCTCTAAACATGTGCCGACTCCAATCCTGACAAAATCAATCACAAACATGACGTCTCTCTTGAATTGAGGAACGATCGGACAAATCAAAGAAGATAAATTCTTCTGGAAGTTTTTTTTAGTGATAATTAATCTGCAAGTGGATTTCCCCAACCTGATAGTAGTACTATCTTCGTTCTGATTTATTGGTTCTTTAATATTTTATTATATCCCAAATTTTGATCATGAATTTAATTAACAAAATGGTAATGCATGTCACAAAAATAATGTCACTGAAAACTATGTTCGAATATGAATTTAATGATATAATTTCTTATGACGTGCATTAACATTTTTTTAGTTATAAATTTCTAATCAAATTTTGGGTCAAAATACAAAAAGATCAATAGACCATAAGGAGGTTGTCACTGAAGAGATGACACCGAATCTTGACCTTAGTCCGACGCGTCATGCTCATCCGGCCCGTCACTCGCCTTATCCATATCGTCCGGGGCCAATCACGACCTCCCTCTTGTCACTGACGCCACCTTGGCCAGCCACAGAAGATCTCAAACCACCTCCCCGAGCAAAGCAAAACCCTAACTCCCACGGCCTGATCCGACTCCCACCGACCACTCATCTATTGCCCCTAAAACATTCAACATCCCACCGACAAGTGGGCCCAAAGTACTCCACGCCCCACATGTCAGCAGCAGCTATGTGATTAACCCATGTGCGCGAAGTGAGCCACGAGCGGCCGAACCCCGGACTGCCACGTGGGGATGGGTAGGGATCCGCGGCCCAAACCAGTGGGCCTCGAAACCGGTGAGCCCACACAACAGGCCCCCCGCCGTCTCAATGACACGCGGGCTCGCACACCGTGGGTCCCACGAGGTCGCAGAGCGTGTCTGGTGCAAGCGACGTGTCCCGAAACCCACGCCGCCTTCCATATATAAAACCCCCTATCCATCCCTCTCTCCCTCGGCTCAGTCTCGTCTCCTCCAGGAGGAAAACCAAAAGCGAAAGGGGAGGGGAGGAAAAAAAATAAGTCAGTACCACTCGCTCGCTCCGCAGCCGCGGCGCACGCACGCAAATCTCGCGCACGGGTTTGGGGGGCGCTCGATCCGCGCGGAGGAAACCCTAGGTACGTACTACTATGTCTGGATAGGGCGTCGGCTCCCGCCGTGCTTGCTGCCCGCGCGCGGCCGCCCCCCGTCTCCCCCGCTCCAGTTCGTTCCCCATTTCGGTGCGAGGCGACGCTGATTTGGTTTGGTTTTGGTTGGTGCTGTAATTGTCGCCGCAAGGCGGTGGATTCGGGATGTCGTCGCCGAGGAACGATGGTGGGTTCCTGACGCAGGAGCAGCGGGAGAAGCTGCGGATCGCGGTGCAGAACGCCGAGACGCTCTCGCTCACGTCGCCGCGCTCGCCCACGGGGAGCACCACCTCCGCGCTGCTGCAGCAGTACGAGCTGCACCAGCAGCAGGTGCGCGCCGCTGCCGCCGCCGCGAGGGGAGGCGGGGGCGGGGGCGGAGCTGGGGCGAGGCACGCGCGACGGTCGCATTCCGGGAAGGCCGTCAAGCTTAAGAAAGGTGAGGCGGCGCTCGATCTGCTTGTGCCCTGTGTAATTAATAGCTTCCCTGTTGTTATGGGGCTGGTTTTAGAGCTTGGCGTGCTTGATTAGGACGCAATGTTGCTGTGCTGCTATTATTACCGCTTCAGTGGACTGCATAGCCTGTTGTTCATGCCTTATGTGGAGTCGATCTAGTTTAGGGTTCTGGGAATGCAGGTTTAGCAGCTGAGTTGATCTTGCTGTTGATGTTTATTTCGAAGTTATGCTTGTAGTTCTCGTATGCTTATGCTGCTAGTTTTTGCGTCTCATTGAGGTGGGGCTCTCGTTATATGGAGGTAGCACATTGTGGCCTATACATCATACATCGCCGACAAAATTTTATTGGGGGGTCATCGATTGTTTGACTGTTCACTAGTTTGCCGATTTCGATTTGTTGCAGTAGGTTGGTAAGTTGATAACCATTGCATTTTGATGGCATACACCTGCTGTTGGTGGCGAGGGTTTAGCAGCTGAGTTGATCTTGCTGTTGATGTTTATTTCGAAGTTATGCTTGTAGTTCTCGTATGCTGATGCTGCTAGTTTTTGCGTCTCATTGAGGTGGGGCTCTCGTTATATGGAGGTAGCACATTGTGGCCTATACATCATACATCGCCGACAAAATTTTATTGGGGGGTCATCGATTGTTTGACTGTTCACTAGTTTGCCGATTTTGATTTGTTGCAGTAGGTTGGTAAGTTGATAACCATTGCATTTTGATGGCATACACCTGCTGTTGGTGGCGAGGGTTAGCTTTGCATGCATGAAGCAGTTTAGCGGTTCCGTGTGCGTGTTAATTTGTGATCCCGACTCCTGAACTGCCTAAAGGGGATTGGTTTTGTCGGTTCCGTGTGCGTGTTAGTTTGTGCTCCTGACTCCTGAGCTGCCTAAAGGGGATTGGTTTTGTCGGGTAATGGCAATTACAATCTGGCCATATAGCATTCTTCTATGTTGGTGGAATTGATGACCAGTATTCTGGTTGCATCTGTTACTCTTTTAGGAAATTTTTGTTGCTCTCTGCTTTTTTGATTCATAGGGGTGCTCAGATCCCAGGATCTGATATATCGTACTGTAAAGTCGTCCGAGTATATTATCTATCTGTTCCTGATAATAAGCTTTCAGTTAGTTAATACCACTGACTTTTCCTGTGTGGGCAACACAACCATCTTTTACATGACATTTGCTAAGACAGAGCACTTCAGGTTCCTTCTACTTGTGACATGTACCCTGAGCTGACTGTGATGGTTGCCGTCTATATTGTCGTGTGAATTGTTCCCCACTTGTGATCATCATATTGTATGATGAGCAGTTGGCCATCTCTTGTTCTGTTGGGATATGGTCTGTTTGTATTCCTCTAATTGTTTCAGCTCACAATTCTAGCCGATGGAATTTGGTCCACATCTATGTGTATGTATGCATATCCAATACTGAAAATTTGTGCTTGCCCATTATATGATTATACTAGATCCTGCAGATTATTATTCCAACTTTTATGTTAGCTGTCTGTACTGTTTTTCGTTATTTTCGTAATAACTGGAAAACTCATTTGGTATCCTTGTTGTTATTACTTCTAGCTGTTATTGGAACCTAATTTTTTATAGAACGAGTAAATGCGTATGTGCAATGCACGTTGATATTTGGCAAAATGTTAATTCTACCTTGATTTAGGTAGAATATTAATTGCATGTCAATTATGTGATTAGTGTTGATATTACTATTTGGTATTATTTGCACGCTAAACATGTTGAGTGCTCGCCATTGGAGCAATCTAGATCGTTGGATTGACATGGTTTGGTGGCTGGGATAGTTGGATCTGCCGCTTTGGGTCTTTTTATATTGGTATAGATATAGTGTATTGCAGCATGTTGCAATGGAGGCTTCTCTCTTTCTGGTAGCAATTGATTATGTGTTTTGTTAACAAGCTGTGCATCGTTGTTTGTTTCCCTTTCCTATTTGAAGTTTTGACTCTGTGTTTCATTTAGAAAAGGAGGTTGTCATTCTGGGCTTATAGTTACTGGTCCTTTGTTTCTTGCTTGTTTAGCTTCCATTTACTTTCTGTACACATTGGGCGTGGAGTATTTGGGATCTTCAGTGAAGTGTATATTGTACTACCTGGACTCACCCTGAACGCATATGGTTAGATTTTACAATTAAAACTGGTGAGGCATTGACTTCAGTTGCTATTACCAGAGACTAGCTGTCAGGGATACTTTCTTGAACCTTTGTTTTCTTGTCCTGCTATTGTAGCATAAAAATCTAAAATGGGTCCATCTATTCATTACACCATGTAGTTGCTGTGTGGCCTAGTATAGAATGCAAATGTGCAGCTTCCTGTTTAAATCTGTACTATATGTGTGTTATTTTATTAAAAAAAACTGCCATGCGATTATGTTACATGATAGTATGATGTTCAGTTTATGATTCTTCCACGATAGAAACAGTGATTACCCATTCACAATCCAAGTCTAATACATTGTGGGGTCTTTTTGAGTTTGGGGAATTCTTGAATACCACTATAGGTTCTATCAACTAATTGCACTTCGAAAATGGCTGTGTTTTCCAGTGTGTCATGGTCTAGTAGTTCTCATTTCTACTTTTGTAATGTAGAAAATTGCTAAAATGTCTGATTTGTTCATCTTCTGTACTACAGATGGTGCTGGTGGCAAAGGCACCTGGGGAAGACTTATCGACGCTGATACAGCCACATTCCTTGACCGAAATGATCCAAACTATGATAGCGATGAGGTAATACTTCATGGTCTTGACTTGTGTACTCCAGTCATTTTTTCATGCAATGCTGAACCGTTTGACTTATTTTAGTCACAAGAAACTGGTAAATATAATATTCAGCTTTGTCTAAATATTTTGTTAACGTGTTATGTGGTTAATACTCAGTACTCAGCCTAACTTTGGACACTCATCGTGTTGTGTTTTGTTAATCAGGAGCCATATGAATTAATTGAAGCCCCTGCTACAACCCCACTAGAGGACTACAAGAAATCTTTTGTCACGATCATTGAGGAATATTTCAGCACTGGTGATGTGAAGCAGACAGGTTCTGATCTTAAAGAGCTGGGTTATGATGACTTCCACCGCTACTTTGTCAAGAAGCTTGTTTCCATGGCAATGGACAGACATGACAAGGAGAAAGAGATGGTGTCAGTGCTGTTATCATCTCTGTATGGTGATGGGCTCAGTTCAACTCAAATCAAACTAGGGTTTGTGATGCTGCTACAAGCTGTTGATGATTTGGCTGTTGACATACCTGATGCAGTTGATGTTCTTGCTCTTTTCATTGCACGAGCAGTTGTAGATGACATTCTTCCACCTGCTTTTCTCAACAAGGCAAAAGGAAGCCTGACAGAGTCTTCAAAGGGCTTGCAAGTTTTACAAATTGCAGCAAAGAGCTATCTTTCAGCACCCCACCATGCAGAGTTACTTGAGCGACGCTGGGGTGGTTCAACTCACATCACAGTGGAGGAGGTAAAGAGGAGGATTACTGATCTTCTAAAGGAATATATTAAGAATGGTGATACAGCGGAGGCGTGTAGGTGCATAAGAGAGTTGGCTGTGCCATTTTTCCACCATGAGGTCGTGAAACGTGCTGTCACCCTTGGAATGGAAAGTCCAGCTGCAGAAACCCTTATTGTCAAGCTTCTGAAGGAGGCATCTGAAGAAGGTTTGATAAGCTCTAGTCAGATGGTGAAGGGTTTCTCCCGTATTGTTGAGAGTCTTGATGATCTCTCCCTTGATATACCATCCGCAAAATCTCAATTCCAGACATTGGTATCGAAAGCAGTTTCCGAGGGTTGGCTTGACTCTTCGTATGAATCTTCAGGTGCTAACGGCAGTGTCCAAGATGATGACCATGAGAAGCTGAGGAGGTACAAGAGGGAGGCTGTGTCTATGATACATGAGTACTTCCTTTCTGATGATATACCAGAGCTTATTCGCACACTCAAAGAACTTGGTTTACCAGAGTACAACCCGGTCTTTATCAAGAAACTGATAACAATTGCCATGGATCGCAAGAACAGGGAGAAAGAGATGGCATCCGTTCTCCTATCCTCATTAAGCATGGAGCTATTCTCCAGTGAAGACATCGTCAAGGGATTCATAATGCTTCTTGAATCTGCAGAAGATACTGCACTGGACATATTGGATGCCTCAGATGAGCTGGGACTGTTCCTAGCGAGGGCAGTGATCGATGATGTGCTTGCGCCTCTGAACTTAGATGAGATTGGCAGCATCCTTCCACCAAGCTGCAGTGGGGCTGAAACATTGAACATGGCGCGCTCGCTTGCCTCCGCCCGCCACTCAGGAGAGAGGCTACTGAGATGCTGGGGCGGCGGGACAGGATGGGCCGTGGAGGACGCCAAGGACAAGATAACAAAGCTCCTGGAGGAGTACGAGAGCGGAGGCGATGTAGGAGAAGCATGCAAGTGCATCCGTGAGATGGGCATGCCTTTCTTCAATCACGAGGTGGTCAAGAAGGCGCTGGTCATGGCAATGGAGAAGAAGAAAGAGTGCATGCTTGCTCTGCTGCACGAGTGCTTTGGCGAAGGGATCATAACCATCAACCAGATGACCAAGGGGTTCTCGAGGGTCAGGGACGGGCTTGACGATCTGGCTCTCGACATACCTGATGCCAGGGAGAAGTTCCTCTCCTACGTGGAGTATGGGAAGAAGAACGGATGGCTCGTACCCTCTTTCGGCGTTGCTGCTTCGACTTGAACCGATGACCGAGCGAGCAGGAAGCATCAAGCTGGATCGCGAAGACGCAGGCTGCCATAGTGTGGTGCAGCTCACCTAGTTTGCGTTTGCGTTTGCGTTTGCGTTTGCGTTTGCTTCTCTGATGCACGTCCCTGGACTTGCGTCGTAGGTAGGTCAACGAGCCCCTCTTGCTTGTGGTGGTGGCTCACGTCTAGATCTTTGCATCTCTGGACATACCCTTTGCTGTTCTTGCCGTGTTCCGTTCAACATCTTCATAGACATTTTTCTTGTTACATCAAGTAGAACAGAGGAGAAAAAATAACTTCATGTAAAAGTTTTTACTATGCCTCTGCCTCTGCCTCCCCTGCATTGACGACTTGTGATTTGGGAAGCATCATGCCGAAACTAACTGTAGTAGCGACTTGCGGCATATCTGAATCGACAGTTTTTCTAGGGCTATCATCCTATCTCAAAATGCTATGGATATAGCTTTGCTCTTTGTAATAACTTCTAAATAAATTTGAGAACGTTTGGTCTTGCCTCCTGGGTTTCGATGGATTGGTCCAGACGCCTTGAATTGAGCCAACGGGGCATGCTAAACTGTCAGACCTCTTCCATGAGCTCAAGCGCACGGGTGGCACCGGGCAAAGTGGAGTACAGGCCTTTTCTCAAAGGCAAAGTTGAAAGTTGCACCTACACGCTGCTCTCCTCTTGCTCAAGAATCTCGCATCCTCTCCCCTGATGACCACTATCTTTGGGCGCGTCTCAACCGCAAGGTCATTAGCATCGCGGTCCTTAGCGTGCCAGGAAGAAGCAGAGTGCGTGCACTGCAAACGTTAAAGAGGGTGACGCTAACACTATTTTTCTTCACCCACGATAATGCTAGAAGGAGCAAAAACCATATACTACACCAGTTGAAGACAAACAATGGCTGGGTCACACACCACAAAGGTAAAGAGTGAAGTGCAATGTAGGTCCTCGAACTATTTCAAGGGTGTCATGTAGGTCCTCGAACTATAAAAATCATCATCCAGGTCCTCAAACTGCAGTAAGTGTATCATTGAGGTCCAAAATTTCCCTAACCCCCTCTAACTAGCCAGCTGGCGCCGTTAACCGTGAACACTAAACAGTAAATTATGAACAGTAAAATAGTGCACCAGTTCCAACATCATTTCTGTATGTGCTGAACAGTACAAATCAAAAAAAATCTGGAATTCTTTGGCACCGAAGATACCCTGGTGCGTGAACAGTAAAAAATGTTCATTAATTCAAAAAAATGTTAGCGAATATGAAAAGTTATTCGCAACTTTATAAAAATGTTCACAAACAATAAATTTGAAAATATGTTCGCAAGTATGGAAAAAATGTTCGCGAGTTTAAAAAAATGTTCGCGAACCACAAATATATGCGACTTCAACATTTTTTTAAAGTCACGAATAATTTTTCCAAATTCATCGTTCGCGAACATTTTCCTAAAGTCGCGAATAATTTTTTTAAATTCACGAATATTTTTTCCAAATTCATCGTTCACGAACATTTCTTTAAAGTTGCGAACATTTTAATTAAAGTCTCGAATATTCTTTCCAAATTCATCATTCGCGAACATTTTTTTAAAGTCGCGAATATTTTTTCCAAATTCATCGTTCGCGAACATTTTTTTAGAGTCGCGTATATTTTTTCCAAATTCACATTCGCGAACATTTTTCTGAATTAATGAACATTTTTTACCGTTCATACAACTGGGTATCTTCGATGCCAAAGATTTTCAGATTTTTTTTATTTTACTGTTCATCGTACACTGTTCATCACGTGCAGAAATGATGCTCGGAACTTAAGGCTGTTTTACTGTTCACATTTCAATGTTTCATTGTTCATGTTTAACGCTGCCAGCTGGCCGGTTAGAGGGGGTCAGGGAGATTTTGGACCTGAATGACACACTTACTGCACTTCGAGGACTTGAATGACAATTTTCATAGTTCGAGGACCTACGTGACACCCCTGAAATAGTTCAAGGACCTACAGTGCACTTCACTCAAAGTTAAAGGAGGACACCATCCACACACACTTTGCGAGTGTCATTGGCAGAGAGGCCAGACCCTGACCTAGGACTTCAATTGGAACAACCTTCACACCGAGCATGTGGACTTGATGCTTGACGGGAGTCGATGACCCCTTCATGGAGGAGGAGGTCAAAAGGGCCATTGACGAGATGTCGGACGACAAAGCCTGGGTCTTATGGTTTACCTGCATCTTTTTTGAACTTTGTTAGGCCTCAATCAAGGATGATGTGATGCGGGGTCTTTCGCCATTTTACGACTTGCATTCTAAGAACTCCCAACTCTGCAAACATTGTCCTTTTGCCGAAGAAAGATGGGACGGAGGAGATTTTGGACCATAGGCATATAAGTCTCATTCCTGCCATTGCCAAAGTGCTTGCTTCGACTTGCCCCTTTCATGAACAACCTTGACTCCAACTCCCAAAGTGCATTCATAAAGAAGAGGAGCATACATGACAACTTCATGTATGTCAGGCCAGACGCTTGCACAGAAATAAAAAGGCAACCTTGCTCTTCAAATTGGACATTCAAGACCTTCGACTCTGCTAGATGGGATTACATCCTTGATCTACTTCAGCGGAAGGGGCTGCCTAGTCGGTTCAGGGACTGGATCACCGCCTTGGTAGCCACATCTTCATCATG